GCTTCCCTACCAGGAGTCGCTCCCCTACAGCTTCTTTTAGCATAGAAAATAGTTGAGGTGTTAGTTCCCCCTTCTGTTTGAGCGACATTATTTGGTTTTCTTGCTGGTGAACGTAACAATGATATTGTAGAGTTCTATAATATTGTAGAGTTCTATGATATTGTAGAGTTCTATGATATTGTGTGTGATATTATAGGTAGCATTAGTTAGTGCTGTACTGGCTGTGCCTGAACAAAAACTATAGCTTGTTTTCCATCTTTTTTTAACATAGTGAGCCAACAGTTGCGAGGTCAAGCCATATGGAAATTAACTAGCCTTTATGCTCAGTTGGGGATGGTTATATACAAAAAGTTATACTTATAAAGTACAAACTGTTTAATTTTGTGAAGAGTATTGTTCATATTAATAATATGCTAAATGGCATATCATTATTATTATAATAAATAGCCCGGCTATTTCTAAGACTCTGTAGGCTACAGTAATTTGTTAATTTCAAGTTGACAGTGTTTTTGGATTAAGTTATGATAATTAAAGGGAACCCATTTCAACCCAAGACCTTCGTCTTTCTAATAATGTTGACAAAAGTCTCATAAGATAGTGAAAAGTGACACACAGCCCCGGTCTCCCCTAATGATGAATTGTGCTGTTACCCACAGTGCATGCGCTTTCTATCATGGGTACCAAAAATATGCATTGGGAACGCCCTGCGTTCTGCGGTGATCGGCTCGTGATTTGCTAGTGTCAAAGGAGATCGACCTGACGGGACAATCAGATTCTCAACCAACAGCCTCCACCACACTCGGGACATGCTCAGAATTAATTCACATGTACAGCGCATTCGGAAAGTATTCAGACCCATTTACTTTTTCCACATTTTGTTATGTTAGTCTTATTCTAAAATGGATTAAATCGTTTTTTCCCCCTCATCAATCTACACAATACCCCATAATGACAAAGCAAAAACAGTTTTTCCTGAACATTTTCCAAATTTATAAAAATTAAACTGAAATATGACATTTACATAAGTATTCAGACCCTTTACTCAGTATTTTGTTGAAGCACCTTTGGCAGCGATTACAGCCTCAAGTCTTCTTGGGTATGACGCTACAAGCTTGGCACACCTGTATTTGCGGAGTTGCTCCCATTCTTCTCTGCAGATCCTCTCAAGCTCTGTCAGGTTGGATGGGGAGCGTCGCTGCACAGCTATTTTCATGTCTCTCCAGAGATTCGATCGGGTTCAAGTCCGGGCTCTGGCTGGGCCACTCAAGGACATTCAGCGACTTGTCCCGAAGCCACTCCTGCGTTGTCTTGGCTGTGTGCATAGGGTCGTTGTCCTGTTGGAAGGTGAACCTTCGCCCCAGTCTGAGGTCCTGAGCGCTCTGGTGCAGGTTTTCATCAAGGATCTCTCTGTACTTTGCACCGTTCATCTTTCCCTCGATCCTGACTAGTCTCCCAGTCACTGCCTCTGAAAAACTTTCCCACAGCGTGATGCTGCCAACACCATGCCTCACCGTAGGGATGGTGTCAGGTTTCCTCCAGACGTGATGCTTGGCTTTCAGGCCAAAGAGTTCAATCTTGGTTTCATCAAACAGGAGAATCTTGTTTCTCATGGTCTGAGAGTCTTTAGTTGCCTTTTGGCAAACTCCAAGCGGGCTGCCTTACCTTTTACTGAGGAGTGGCTTCCGTCTGGCCACTCTACCGTAAAGGCCTGATTGGTGGAGTGCTGCAGAGATGGTTGTCCTTCTGAAAGATTCTACCATCTCCACAGAGGAACTCTGGAGCTCTGTCAGAGTGACCATCGGGTTCTTGGGCACCTCCCTGACCAAGGCCTTTCTCCCCCGATTGTTCAGTTTGGCCGGGCGGCCAGCTCTAGGAAGAGTCTTGGTGGTTCCAAACTTCTCCCATTTAAGAATGATGGAGGCCTCTGTGTTCTGTGGGCCTTCAATGTTGCAGAAATTTTTTGGTATCCTTCCCCAGATCTGTGCCTCGACACAATCCTGTCTCGATGCTCTACGGACAATTCCTTCGACCTCATGGCTTGGTTTTTGCTCTGACATGCACTGTCAACTGTGGGACCTTATATAGACAGGTGTGTGCCTTATCAAATCATGTCCAATAAATTTAATTTACCACAGATGGACTCCAATCCAGTTGTAGAAACATCTCAAGGATGATCAGTGGAAACAGGATGCACCTGAGCTCATTCTCGAGTCTCTTAGCAAAGGGTTTGAATACTTATGTAAATAAGGTATTTCAGTTTTTTATTATGAATAAATGTGCAAACATTTCTAAAACCCTGTTTTTGCTTTGTCATTATGGGTTATTGTGTGTAGATTGATGAGGGAATAAAAAAAAAAATCAATTTTAGAATGGCTGTAACGTAACAAAATGTGGAAAAGGTCAAGGGGTCTGAATACTTTCCGAATGCACTGTAAGCGATGGTACTTAAGGTGGCTTTACTTCTGGCATTTGCCTTCAGTTCCCAGCATTCCCAGCCCCCATGTTCAGCAAAAATGAAGATATCAATTTGATATCATGATAATATGCCATTTATCTGACGCTTTTATCTAAAATGACTTATAGTACAGTAAGTGCATACATTTTTTGTAAACGTGATCCCTGTGGGAATTTCTAACACCATGCTCTTACCAATTGAGCCACATTGGAGCACGTAGACTATTTCAACTGCAATATGGATGTTATACAGGTTTGAGATTACAGTTGTATTTCAGCAGAAGGCTAAGGATCAACACCACCTTGGTTTCTATCCATACATCTTTCATTTCTCTTGTCCTCTCTGTTTTCGGTGTATTTATCCGGTGGTTATCCACTCTCATTAGTTGGAAAACAAAAATTGAATGAGTATAGAAATTATACTTATGTTGGCTGAGTGCTTAAGTGTAATTAGACTTGTGATTGTGTAGTCAAATCATGCAGGGAGACGGGGAAGTCTGGAGCCTGATTGCAACATCTCCCTCGTAATGCATGCCATTCCTCCAAGGAACACAGGTGAAATTTGACCTGATATCTGTTCCCAGCCTGGTCCCAGAAAGACTGGGGATGGAAGGGGCTCAAACAGTAAACACAAAATCAATAACTACATCTTAGCAACTACATCCTTAGCAACTACATCTTAGCTACCCCAACGATCTACTAAGCCACTAAAATTGAGTGGAACCCTTCTCTCTCTCTCTGTCTCTCTCTCTCTCTCTGTGTAACATTTCTGCTTCGTGAACTTCTCTGATTATTTTGTTGAAATGAGAGCATATGATGTTCTGGCCTCAGGGATTTGGGTACATACCTTCATTGCATTTAGCACAAGTTCCTCAGTGAAAACATTGTAGGATGGCATTTGGATAATCTGTTTCCTGTATATCCTCCCCTGTCATGTCCCCATTATATAGTCTCTAATTTTACCAGTAGGCTATGTGATCTCCATTTAGTTTGATGGCAGAAGTGAATTACTAGTCAACTGACCTCTGACCTCTGTGAAAAGTCAGTTTTGCTTAAAGACATCATAACGTTGACATAATGTTGATGCAACTGCATTTCCTGCCAAGAGATACAGTTTGTGTGTTTTTACCGTCTCCCGCACTTTGGAATCCATGGGGTCAAAGTCTCTATCCACCATTGAGTCTAGTCCTCTAGATAGGCTTGATTAAGTCTGCTGTTTAAACATTGTCAACATGTAAAGATGAGCCTGGTGGAACCAGCCTTATCGCTGTGTTCAATAGAATGGTAAACGTAGCAATCAGACTGGTTCCAACAGGCTATGTAGACAATGACACTATGGCAGACAAAAGTTTTCAGTCAGTTTCCATGAAAATGTTTGAAAGCTGTATGTAGTTTTCAGTCAGTTTCCATGAAAATGTTTGAAAGCTGTATGTCATTTTCAGTCAGTTTCCATGAAAATGTTTGAAAGCTGTATGTAGTTTTCAATCAGTTTCCATGAAAATGTTTGAAAGCTGAATGTAGTTTTCAGTCAGTTTCCATGAAAATGTTTGAAAGCTGTATGTCGTTTTCAGTCAGTTTCCATGAAAATGTTTGAAAGCTGTATGTAGTTTTCAGTCAGTTTCCATGAAAATGTTTGAAAGCTGTATGTAGTTTTCAATCAGTTTCCATGAAAATGTTTGAAAGCTGTATGTAGTTTTCAGTCAGTTTCCATTAAAATGTTTGAAAGCTGTATGTAGTTTTCAGTCAGTTTCCATTAAAATGTTTGAAAGCTGTATGTCATTTTCAGTCAGTTTCCATTAAAATTTTTGAAAGCTGTATGTAGTTTTCAGTCAGTTTCCATGAAAATGTTTGAAAGCTGTATGTCGTTTTCAGTCAGTTTCCATGAAAATGTTTGAAAGCTGTATGTAGTTTTCAGTCAGTTTCCATGAAAATGTTTGAAAGCTGTATGTAGTTTTCAATCAGTTTCCATGAAAATGTTTGAAAGCTGTATGTAGTTTTCAGTCAGTTTCCATTAAAATGTTTGAAAGCTGTATGTCATTTTCAGTCAGTTTCCATGAAAATGTTTGAAAGCTGTATGTAGTTTTCAGTCAGTTTCCATGAAAATGTTTGAAAGCTGTATGTCGTTTTCAGTCAGTTTCCATGAAAATGTTTGAAAGCTGTATGTAGTTTTCAGTCAGTTTCCATGAAAATGTTTGAAAGCTGTATGTAGTTTTCAATCAGTTTCCATGAAAATGTTTGAAAGCTGTATGTAGTTTTCAATCAGTTTCCATGAAAATGTTTGAAAGCTGTATGTAGTTTTCGAGGTCAGTCGAGTGTAAGCGTTCCAGTTTTGTCAAGTAATAAACAGTCCAACATATCATATAGTCTCTGTCCTGTGAGCTAAACCAAAAAGTCGTTAAAAGTCTTGTTGAAATGTTTCTGTTACTAATGCAGAGTTCTGTCCCGTTTGTCAGGGTGAAGAATAAAGACAACGGAAATCTTAAATGGACTAGTTCCTCCTCTTCTGAAGTGTGTTGGGATTAGCCGAACCTCCTCAATCCGCCACCATGAACCTCTTCAACGAGACGACTCCACTGTGCTTCTCCATCAACAGTCCCCCCTTCAACTACAACCATACCATTGCTTCCCGCAACTTCTCCACTGTGTTCAGCTCTCTGGGCCTCACCTTCAACCTCATCGCCTTTGTGGTCCTCCTCAAGTCCTTCCAGCGCACGCACAGCCGCTCGCGCTCCTCCTTCCTCATCTTCCTCTGCGGCCTGGTGGTCACCGACTTCATGGGCCTCCTGGTCACCGGCATTATCGTGGTCTCCTTCCACTTCACCCAGTTCAACTGGCGCCGCCTGGACCCGCACTGCCACTTCTGCAACTACATGGGCATGTCCATGGTCTTCTACGGCCTGTGCCCGCTGCTGCTGGGCGCCACCATGGCCGTGGAGCGCTTCGTGGGCATCAACCGGCCGTTCGCCCGCTCGACCAGCATGCCCAAGTCGCGGGCCATGTGCATAGTGCTGATGGTGTGGACGGTAGCGGGGTGCATCTCACTGCTGCCCCTGGTGGGCGTGGGGAGCTATCACATGCAGATACCGGGCTCCTGGTGCTTCTTCAACATTGGCTCGGAGGCTAGCGACATGGCCTTCTGCCTGCTCTTCTCACTGGTGGGGCTGCTGTGCATCGCCGTGTCCTTCCTGCTCAACACGGTGAGCGTGGTGACCCTGGTCAAGGTGTGCTGCGGCCAGGACGCTACGCAGCGTCGCCGCGACTACGAGGTGGAGATGATGGTGCAGCTCATCTGGATCATGATGATCGCTTCCATCTGCTGGTGCCCCCTGCTGGTGAGTAGTGGCGGCCTATCAAAACACGCACACACACATACACACAATACCAAGCACATACAGGACATATGCCCCTAGGTCAGGAGGACACAATATCCGCTCAAACACATCGTTATATTCATCACTCAGTATTGATATGTATGAAATTCGGACATTTGTTGTTTGTAACATATTTAAGCAATATGTGGTATATGGCCAATATAACATGGCTAAGAGCTGATCTTAGGCACGACGCAACGCGAAGTGCCTGGACACAGCCCTTAGCCGTGGTATATTGGCCGTATATCACAAACCCCTGAGGTGCCTTATTGCTATTATAAACTGGTTACCAACGTAATTAGAGCAGTAAAAATACATGTTTTGTCATCATACCTGTGGTATACGGTCTTATATACCACGGCTGTCAGCCAATCAGCATTCAGGGCTAGAACCACCCAGATTATAAAATGCAATATACCATCGTTGTCCACTGCTGCATACTTACTGCATTTGAATGGCAAATGAAGTCAAGAGATAATGATCAACTCGCACTTGATACAGGCCCCAATACATGTGTATCAATATGTGCACACACAAATCTCTGCCTATTGAGGTTGCTCTCTCGACCCTCCGCTAACAGAACTCTCTTTGGCTAACTCTCCGGTACCACTGCTGCCTTGTCTCTAAACCTAAGCAGGGTTGTCCCTGGATGGGAGACCAGCTGCTACTGGAAGTGGTGTTGGAAGTCCAGAAGGGGGCCCTCTTCCCTCTGGTCTAGGGAGATTCCAATGCCCCAGGGCAGTGAAGGGGACATTGCCCTGCCGTCTTTCGGATGGGACGTTAAAACGAGTGTCCTGACTCTCTGTGGTCACTAAAGATCCCATGGCACTTATCGTAAGAGTAGGGGTGTTAACCCAAGTGTCCTGGCTAAATTCCCAACCTGACCCTCATGGCCACCTAATCATCTCCAGCTTCCAATTGGTGCATTTATCCCCTCTTCTCCCCCTTGTAACTCATACTTAGGTTGTTGCAATGATACGTTCTCAGTCAACTTACCTGGTAAAATAAGGCTAAATAACTGGCTGAACAGCATAAACTGTGGGCGTCTTTATAAGCAGCGTGCATTGCATACAGCCCAGGTCAAGTTCAGGAAGTGGAATTGGCCCTGTATTAGGGAGTATGGCTGTATGCTGCCTGGTGATAAGGCCTGTAAGAGGGGGCCATCTCCGGCTGCAGACAGAGGGGGATATCCGGGCCAGAGTGGACTCCCTGTCCCTTTCCTATATCTGCCTCTGTCGCTCTGTCTCTTTACGTTCAATCGATTCAATTCAAAACCGATGCAACGTTTTCAATCGCACAGTGAATGAGTTCAGTTGATAAAAGTACTAACAAATACAGAAATGTTATATTACATTACGCAAACAGTCTCTGACATGTAATGCACAGTGCATTCAGAAAGTATTCAGACCTCCTCCTTTTTCCACATTTTGTTACGTTACAGCCTTATTCTAAAATAGAATTAAAAAAAAAAAAATCCTCATCAATCTACACACAATACCCAATAATAACAAAGCGAAAACAGGTTTTTAAGAAATTTTAGCAAATGTATTAAATAGAAAAAAACAGAAATACCTTATTTACATAGTATTAAAATCAAATCACATTTTATTTGTCACATACACGTGTTTAGCAGATGTTATAGCGGGTGTAGCAAAATGCTTGTGCTTCTAGCTCCGACAGTGCAGTAATATCTAACAATTACACAACATATACCCAATACACACAAAAAAGTAAGGAATGGGATTTAAGAATATATACATATATGGACAAGCAATGACAGAGTGGCATGGACTAGGATACAGTAGAATATTATAGAATAGAATGCAGTATATACATATGAGATGAGTAGTGCAAGATATGTAAACATTATTAAAGTGACTAGTGTTCCATTTCTTAAAGTGGCCAGTGATTTCAATAGGCAGCAGCAGCAGCCTCTAATGTGCTAGTGATGGCTATTTTTTTATTTATTTTTGATAGCCTGGTGAACTGGCAGTGACTCGGGTGGTTGATGTCCTTGATGATATTTTTGGCCTTCCTGTGACATCGGGTGCTGTATGTGTATTGGAGGGCGGGTATTTTTTATTTTTTTTACAGACGCTCTTATCCAGAGCTGATGTGTACGCCAAGGAACTTGAAGCTTCCCACCTTCTCCACTGCGGTCCTGTTGATGTGGATAGGGGGGTGCACCCTCTGCTGTTTCCTGAAGTCCACGATCATCTCCTTTGTTTTGTTGATGTTGAGTGAGAGGTTATTTTCCTGGCACCACACTCCCAGAGCCCTCACCTCCTCCCTGTAGGCGGTCTCGTCATTGTTGGTAATCAAGCCTCCTACTGTTGTGTCGTCTGCAAACTTGATGATTGAGTTGGAGGCGTGCTTGGCCACGCAGTCATGGGTGAACAGGGAGTACAGGAGGGGGCTGAGCACGGACCCTTGTGGGGCCCCAGTGTTGAGGATCAGCGAAGTGGAGATGTTGTTTCCTACCTTCACCACCTGGGGGCGGCCCGTCAGGAAGTCCAGGACCCAGTTGCACATGGCGGGGTTCAGACCCAGGGCCTTGAGCTTAATGATGAGCTTGGAGGGTACTATGGTGTTGAATGCTGAGCTATAGTCAATGAACAGCATTCTTACATAGGTATTCCTCTTGTCCAGATGGGATAGGGCAGTGTGCAGTGTGATGGCAATAGCATCGTCTGTGGATCTATTGGGGCGTTAAGCAAATTTAAGTGGGTCTAGGGTGACAGGTAGGTAGAGGTGATATTATCCTTGACTAGTCTCTCAAAGCACTTCATGATGACAGAGGTGAGTGCTACAGGGCGATAGTCATTTAGTTCAGTTACCTTTGTTTTCTTGGGTACAGGAACAATGGTGGCCATCTTGAAGCATGTGGGAACAGCAGACTGGGAAAGGGAGAGATTGAATATGTCCATGAACACACCAGCCAGCTGGTCTGCGCATGCGCATGCTCTGAGGACGCGGCTAGGGATGTCGTCTGGGCCGGCAGCCTTGCGGGGGTTAACATGCTTAAATGTCTTAATCATGTCGGCCATGAAGAAGGAGAGGCCACAGTCCTTGGTAGTGGGCCTCGTCAGTGGCACTGTGTTATCCTCAAAGCGGGCGAAGAAGGTGTTTAGCTTGTCTGGAAGCGAGACGTCGGTGTCGGTGACGTGGCTGGTTTTCTTTTTGTAGTCCGTGATTGCCTGTAGACCCTGCCACATACGTCTCGTGTCTGAGCCGTTGAATTGCGACTCCACTTTGTCTCTATACTGATGTTTTGCTAGTTTAATTGCCTTGCGGAGTGAGTAGCTACACTGTTTGTATTCTGCCATATTCCCAGTCACCTTGCCATGGTTGAATGTGGTGGTTCGCACTTTCAGATTTGCGCGAATGCTGCCGTCTATCCACGGTTTCTGGTTAGGGTAGGTTTTAATAGTCACAGTGGGCACAACATCACCTATACACTTCCTGATAAACTCTGTCACCGTTTCAGTGTATGTGTCTAAATTATCCCAGTCCACGTGATCAAAACAATCTTGAAGCGTGGATTCCGATTGGTCAGACCAGCGTTGAATAGTCCTTAGCACGGGTACTTCCTGTTTGAATTTCTGCCTATAGGAAGGGATAAGCAAAATGGAGTCATGGTCAGATTTGCTGAAAGGAGGGCGGGGGAGGGCCTTATAACCATCCCGGAAGTTTGAATAGCAATGGTCGAGGATTTTAGCAGCGCGAGTACAACAGTCGATGTGTTGATAGAACTTCGGCAGTCTAGTCCTCAAATGTGCTTTGTTAAAATCCCTGGCTACAATAAATGCAGCCTCAGGATATGTGGTTTCCAGTTTGCATAAGGTCCAGTGAAGTTCTTTGAGGGCCGTCGTGGTATCAGCTTGAGGGGGGATATACACGGCCGTGACTATAACCGAAGAGAATTCTCTTGGGAGATAATACGGTCGGCATTTGATTGTGAGGTATTCTAGGTCGGGTGAACAAAAGGACTTGAGTTCCTCTATGTTACTACAATTACACCATGAGTCGTTAATCATGAAACACACACCTCCGTCCTTCTGCTTCCCGGAGAGATATTTATTCCCTCTGGCTGGACCTATTTTGACAGAATATCCCAAGAGAGCCATGTTTCCATGAAACAGAGTATGTTACAGGCCCTGATGTCTCTCTGGAAAGAAATCCTTGCCCGTAGTTCGTCGACTTTGTTAACCAAAGATTGAAGATTAGCGAGTAGAATACTTGAAAGCGGTGGGTGGTGTGCACGCCTCCTAAGTCAGACCAGCAGGCCGCTCCGAGTGCCTCTCCTCTGCCGGCAATGTTTTGTGTCAGCCGCTGGAATCAGTTCAGTTGCCCCGGCTGTATGTAATGATGCAAAACACTTTCTGAGATAATAATGTAAAAAATAATACATAAAAAAACAAAATACTGCAAAGTTTCCTAAGAGCTAGTCACGAGGCCGCTCTCTTTGTCGGCGCCAGGTACTATTCAGACCCTTTGCTATGAAACAGTGCATGTCAGAGCAAAAACCAAGCCAGGAGGTTGAAGGAATTGTCCGTAGAGCTCCGAGACAGGATTGTGTTGAGGCACAAATCTGGGGAAGGGTACCAACATATTTCTGCAGCATTGAAGGTCCCCAAGAACACAGTGGCCTCCATCATTCTTAAATGGAAGAAGTTTGGAACCACCAAGACTCTTCCTAGAGCTGGCCGCCCGGCCAAACTGAGCAATCGGGGGAGAAGGGCCTTGGTCGGGGAGGTGACCAAGAACCTGATGGTCACTCTGACAGAGCTCCAGAGTTCCTCTGTGGAAATTGGAGAACCTTCCAGAAGGACAACCATCTCTACACCACTCCACCAATCAGGCCTTTATGGTAGAGTGGCCAGACGGAAGCCACTCCTCAGTCAAAAGCACATGACAGCCTGCTTGGAGTTTGCCAAAAGGCACCTAAAGGACTCTCAGACCATGAGAAACTAAATACTCTGGTCTGATGAAACCAAGATTGAACTCTTTGGCCTAAATGCCAAGTCTGGAGGAAACCTGGCACCATCCCTACGGTGAAGCATGCTGTGGGAATGTTTTTCAGCTGCAGGGACTGGGAGACTATTCAGGATCATTAATCTTTCCCTCGATCCTGACTAGTCTCCCAGTCCCAGAAAAACATCCCCACAGCATGATGCTGATCCTTGATGACAACCTGCTCCAGAGCGCTCAGGACCTCAGACTGGGGCGAAGGTTCACCTTCCAACAGGACAATGACCCTAAGCACACAGCCAATACAATGCAGGAGTGGCTTCAGGACAAGTCTCTGAATGTCCTTGAGTGGCCCAGCCACAGCCCTGACTTGAACCTGATCGTACATCTCTGCAGAGACCTGAAAATAGCTGTGCAGCGATGCTCCCCATCCAACCTGACAGAGCTTGAGAGGATCTGCAGAGAAGAATGGGAGAAACTCCCCAAATACAGGTGTGCCAAGCTTGTAGTGTCATACCCAAGAAGACTTGAGGCTGTAATCGCTGCCAAAGGTGCTTCAACAAATTACTGAGTAAAGGGTCTGAAATCTTATGTAAATGTAATTTCTACGTTTTGTATGTTTAATCTAAAAAAAATCTAAAAACCTGTTTTTTCTTTGTCATTATGGGGTATTGTGTGTAGATTGATGTGTGTGTGTGGGGGGGGGGGGGGGGGGGGGGGGGGGGCGACTATTTAATCAATTTTAGATTAAGACTGTAACGTAACAAAATGTGGAAAACGTCAAGGGGTCTGAATACTTTCCCAATGCACTGTAGACACATTTCTCCTTCTCTCAAAAAATGGGGCTTGGTCTGGTCTAAGCTACCAGTCTACCCCTCTACATGCCTCATTTCTCCTAAATAATGCAGGCAAAATTAGCTGACCTCAAAGTCCTGTTATGCTTCTGTACCATACCCATTCAAGGCTCTTTGTAATCAATCTCGTGGCTTAAATAGATGGGAGGCCAACAACCACATCACAGCCTCACTACTACTCCCCTGATTCTGTGTGTGTTCTGTAACACTTTATTTTGAATACATTTGAGCATCTATAAATCTACACGGTACCTACCATCAAAATAAAGTGTTGCTATATTTACATTTGACATTTTAGTCATTTAGCAGATGCTCTTATCCAGAGCGATTTACAGGAGCAATTAGGGTTAAGTGCCTTGCTCAAGGGATGCTAAATGACTTAAATGTAATGTAAATGTAAGGGCACATCGACAGATTTTTCACCTAGTCGGCTCGGGGATTAGAACCAGCGACCTTTCTATATGTCAGTGTTTCCGCTAGATGATTTTTGAGGTGCCACCAAATCGACATCGAAGGCCTTTTTAAGCAACATTTTCATTTAAAACCTAAAAGGGGTACAATTGAAGCCTAATTATTTTAGGAATGAAAGGAAAGAGGTAGGTTAGGTTTACACCTTTCATTATATAATGGTAACACTACCGTATGTTCTTCAGCACTTCTGGAGCCCTTTATCCAGTCTAACCTCCTGACTGTCCTGTACAGATATATGTTCTGAAAGGTGCTGTGTACGGCAAACCCGTAGAGCCTGGCTTCATGTTACTCGGCCTGCGGATGGCCACCTTCAATCAGTTATGTGACCCCTGGGTTTACATCGTATGTCAGGAGTTCAGACTAATGCGAGTAAAAACAGCTAATGTTTATAGCGCCCCCTATCTTCACTCACCGCACATTGCTTTGGGCTGTGGCTGTCCGGACTGTCCGGACCTCATCCATAGCCAGACCATCCGAATGACTGCATCATTCGTGCCACAACTATGGACTCATCCGCTTTGGACAGCCATCTTAGCTGATTCACGTCCCCTTAACAGCTTCTGAACTACATTAACCATAACCCCCAACTGGAGCATGCTCAGTCCAAAGGATACTCGAAGTCATGAGCTGGTTTACCATTGCCCCTCCACTTAGTTTCCGTTCTATTCCATGTCAGGCAGGCAATAAGCCATTCACTTGCAATCTCTGCTTTTGCCAGTGCCCACCCCCTCCTCCCCCCAAAAATGTATGCCAATGGACCAATGATGGTGACATCTAAACAAAACGATGATCATTCCACATTATAAGCAATGCTTTGGATATGTGGTCATTGTGTATCTGTGTACTCTATGCGTGTGTACTCCGTTTTTAATGATGCGTGTGTTTGTGTTTGACCACAGCAACTCACTGTCTGCCAGCTGCGATCCTGAGACACTAAGGGCCTGTTAGCATTTTTTTGAAGCATCTGGAAAACGCTAATTATTTGCTAAACACAAGCGCGTATGTCATTCCTGAGGAGTAGAGCTTATTTGTGTGTGTGGTGTGTGTGTGTGTGTGTGTGTGTGTGTGTGTGTGTGTGTGTGTTGCCTGTATGAATGTGTGTGAGAAGGCCCAAACTGCTGCACTTATGTCTTCAAACTACTGATGACAACTCTCTCTATCTGTGTTGTTGGGTCTCATGCGAGAGAAGAGAAAGAAGAGAAGAAAGACAAGTAAATAAAGACGAAGAGAGAGAGAGAGTAGAGAGCACGAGAGAAACGAGAGCAGAGAGAGCTAGAGAGAGAAGCATAGAGAGTGAGACGGAGAAGAGAGTTAGCAGCAGAGATATAGAAAAGAAAGAAAGATCTAGAACAGCATAAAACTGATACAGACGACAGCGAGAAGACAGACACCCGAAAGACAGCTCTCGCATCTCGAACCTCCCCCCTCCCTCCTCTCCTCCTCCTCCCTCCCTCCCTCCCTCCCTCCCTCCCTCCCTCCCTCTCTCCTTCCCCTTACACTCTACAGGTGTTTATTGCGGAGACTGTGTTGTCAGGGAGCCCACCTAGGATTCGCTACCTGCTACTCTTCATCCGCTTCGCCACCTGGAACCAGATCCTGGACCCCTGGGTGTACATACTGTTTCGCCGCGCCGTCCTCAAGCGCCTCTACCCAAGTTGGGACTGGTCCCGGGGTTCCATAAGGACCCTGTACCCCGCCTCCTTTGTCGGCACCATCCGCCGGTTCACCCGCGCCTCCCTGGGCGGCGACGTCCAGGGGGGTAGCGAAAGGGCCATGTCAGTCGAACCCCAGTCGTTTAACGTGAAGGCTCCACCTTCATCGCCTTGACTGTTTCCTGTTGTTGTGCATTGGTGCACATCCTCGTAGGGGACATTTTTATTTATATGGTTTTTAGGTGCTGTTTAGACAGTTCTTAAAAGAGACTGAACATGGATACGGCTGTGGCATCCCACTGGGCACAAACTGGTTGAATCAACGTTGTTTCAATGTAATTTGTCAATGTATTGTGACGTGGAATCTATGTGGAAAATACATTGGATTTGAAAAAAGTAATCAACGTAAACTGTTTTGAGGGTGAAATTTCAACAACAAGATTATGTCATAATTGTAACCAATTTTCCACATAGACTAACCTTGTATGAAATATGTTACATTTGTACCTTTGAAACAACGGCAGATCTTCAACGTTATATCAACTATCAGAAGATAAAAAACTATAGGCTGAGCAGCACCTCCTACTGGAGAGTTGATCTATCTACAGCTATTCATGTGGGCTCTCATCCAGGGTTTTTACCAAGCTCAGCCTTTATACTTGTCACTGACTACCACCAATGTGCCGTCGTGAGAATTATTATTGAGAGATCTCTTAATAACTAAATATATTCACCGTTGCTATCGAAGTCATTCCAAAGGGTAGGTTTAACAGAGCAAATGAAATGTAACCATACTTTATGTCATATATCATCAATTATACTATTTTAGGCCTATGTAGCATTTGCAAAGACATCAACAGCTGTTGTTTCAATTCAACCCAGAAAATATATATATATGCAGTACCAGTGAAAAGTTTGGACACACCTATTCATTCAAGGGTTTTTCTACATTGTAGAAAAATAGTGAAGACATCACAACTATGAAATAACACATATGGAATCATGTAGTAACCAAAAAAAGTGCGAAAGAAATCAACATATATTTTAGATTTTAGATTCTTCAAAGTAGCCACCCTTTGCCACGATGACAGCTTTGCACATTCTTGGCATTCTCTCAACCAGCTTCATGAGGTAGTCACCTGAAATGCATTTCAATTAACAGGTGTGCCTTCTTAAAAGTTAATTTGTGGAATTTCTTTCCTTCTTAATGCGTTTGAGCCACTCAGTTGTGTTGTGACAAGGTAGGGGTGGTATACAGAAGATAGCCCTATTTGGTAAAAGACCAAGTCCATATTATGGCAAGAACAGCTCAAATAAGCAAAGAGAAAAGACAGTCCATCATTACTTTAAGACATGAAGGTCATTCAATACGGAACATTTCAAGAACTTTGAAAGTTTCTTCAAGTGCAGTCGCAAAAACCATCAAGCGCTATGATGAAACTGGCTCTCATGAGGACCGCCACAGGAATGGAAGACCCAGAGATACCTCTGCTGCAGAGGATAAGTTCATTCGAGTTACCAGCCGCAGAAATTGCAGCCCAAATAAATGCTTCACAAAGTTCAAGTAACAGAAACATCTCAACATCAACTGTTCAGAGGAGACTGCATGAATCAGGCCTTCATGGTCTAATTGCTGCAAAGACACCACTACTAAAGGACACCAATAAGAAGAAGAGACTTGCTTGGGCCAAGAAACACGAGCAATGGACATTAGACCGGTGGAAATCTGTCCTTTGGTCTGATGAGTCCAAATTAGAGATTTTTGGTTTGCGCTTAGTGGGATTATAATTTGTTTTTCAACTGGACAACGACCCAAAACATACCTCCAGGCTGCGTAAGGGCTATTTGAACAAGGAGAATGATGGAATGCTGCATCAAATGACCTGGCCTCCACAATCCCCCGACCTCAACCCAATTGAGATGGTTTGGGATGAGTTGGATCGCAGAGTGAAGGAAAAGCAGCCAACAAGTGCTCAGCATATGTGGGAACTATTTCAAGACTGTTGGAAAAGCATTCCTCATGAAGCTGGTTGAGAGAATGCCAAGAGTTTGCAAAGCTGTCATCAAGGCAAAGGGTGGCTACTTTGAAGAATCTCAAATATAAAATATATTTTGATTTGTTTAACAATTTTTTTGTTACTACATGATTCCATATCAGTTATTTCATAGTTTTCATGTCTTCACTATTATTCTACAATGTAGAAAATAGTAAAAATTAAGAAAAATCCTTGAATGAGTAGGTGTGTCCAAGCTTTTGACTGGTACTGTATATAAACTGGGTGGTTCGAGTCCTGAATGCTGATCGTTGACACGGGAATGACAAAATATTAAGTTTTACTGCTCTAAAAGGCACCTTGGGGATTTGTGGTATATGGCCAATATACCACACCCCCTCGGGCCGTATTGCTTAAATAGACAATACATATAGGCCTAGGGTTTCAAGCTTTGGTTCATTTCAAATGTACTTTTCAAGGTAATTATTAATATGTTGGATTCATGTCTCTATCTCAACCAAAAATCTAAGTTAAAGAATGGGATTAAATCAAATCAAACTTTATTTAAATTGCATTTAAAGTTTGATTTGATTTAATTTAGTCCTATTCTTTAAGTTAGATGTTGGTTGCAATGGAGACGTTAATATGTTGGATTGATGTCTCCATGTTTCTTTATTTAAAGTGCATTTTAAGTTTGATTAGATTTAGTCCTATTCTTTAAATTAGAGTTTTGGTTGTGATGGAGACATGACTCCAACATATTGGATAGTTCCATCTATGCCACTGACTTAGTCTGGTTTTAATTCTAGTGTGTCTACAAATTAATTATTGATAGGATGGATTCACGTCTCCATCGCAACCAAAAATCTAACTTAAAGAATAGGACTAAATTAAATCAAATTTTAAATGCACTTTAAATAAGGTTTGATTTGATTTAGTTATATTCTTTCAATTTGATTCTTGGTTGAGATGGAGATGTGAATTCAACATATCAATTATTTATTTGTAGACAAACTGGAATTAAAGCCTGACTAAGTCAGTGGAACAAAAGATACAACTACTTCAAATGTTAATATTTGGTTGAGTTGACAACCAAACACAATTCAATTACAGTTTTGCAATGGAGTAAAAAGCCTATTAACTTGTCGACAAGTTAACAAATGATATGTTGGATTTACGTCTCCAACTAAACCAACAAAAAAAAATTCAAGAATAGGATTAAAACAGTGGCTAAGATGAAACTATCCATTCATTAGATATCCTTTAAATCTTGATATTTGGTTGCGTTGTCAACCAAACACAATTCAATAATACTTTTGTATCATGGTAAATAGCCTAAAGTTAAGGCTATCTTACAAACTAATGTAACAGTATTTATTCAACCTTAAAATGAGTAACACGGCCACATTTTTTAGGTTAGCCTACAATAACTATACATCTCTTCTTCTGCAATCATAGAAAGCGTGCATGTTCAAGATGGCGTTCAAAGGTCGCAGGTCTGAGGGAATCGGGTGGAATGGACACCCAGCTCTGCCATCAGCTCTACCACCAGTATCATGACTGTCATCGTCATTAGCTGCTACAGCTAAACTATATCATTTTAGATTTGATTGAAAATGTACAGAATTATTCACACCCTTGATTCAATACTTTGTAGAAGCATCTTTGGCAGCGATTACAGCTGCACTTTATAGTTTCTAGGCCAAACTGTTCGGACGCTACAGACATTTTCGTGAGAAGACAGGTTTTTTCGGACAAACACACCTGTAGCTCAGACATTTTACACCGCAGATGCTGAAGGCCGACATAGGCGGATGCGGTGGATTGAGACGCATCCGTAAATCATAGAAAGCTCAACATAGCATGCAAAGGTCGCAGGTCTGAGAAAATCTTCCCAATTGCTATAATAATCTGCGCAGAATCTCAAACAGCATTGATCACTTGCGCTATGTACTTTTAATATAATCTCAACTGCAATCCAGGTCATTTGGTTGTGCTATTAGATGAAGCACAGTGATAACACATTAAGTTGTTGTTGTATAAATACAAAATATCTGCCATTGTATTCCCATTTTGAATTTGGTTGTGCTTTTAGATGGCTGAAAGCATAGTGAAAACACATTGGGAATTCAATAAACTTCTGGCTGTCTTTTAGAGTGGGTGAATAAAGGTTGAAATCTCATTGATCAACATCTCAACCAAATATGACCAAAAATGTCCAAGTTGAAATGAGATGGTGTGCCGAGTGGGATGGCATTGGAGCTCGGAGCTGGCTTTTCCTTTGCCCTAGCATTGTCCTAAGCACATGGTGTTGCCAGTGGGATGATATTGTGTGATGGTATTAATTAAGCATTGTTTAGTAGAGACCAAGAAAATGTAAGCAGAGGCTGACAGCAGCATCTGGTTTAGATCTAGACTGTGTGAGGTATCGCTGTGCTCATCAGTCACAAAAAAACACTGCCTGGTCAGATTCCATGCCAAAGACCACAAGGCCGTTGTTTCTGTGAGTGTACGTGACTATATGTATGAGTTTTTTGTGTTCATGTGAAAGTGTGGGGATGTCACTGTGGTTAAGTGTATGCGTGTCATGTGTGTGTGTATGCGTGTGTGCGTGTGTGTGTGTGTGTGTGTGCGTGTGTGTGTGTGTGTGTGTATGCGTGTGTGCGTGCGTGCGTGCGTGCGTGCGTGTGTGCGTGTGTGTGTGTGTGTGTGTGTGTGTGTGTATGTGTGCGTGCGTGCGTGCGTGCGTGTGTGTGCTAACTTTCTCCTGTTGCTATGCAGCTGCTCCACCTGAGATAACTAAAAGGACAACTGTCATTGGCTCTGGTGAGGTATCTGCCCTTCAGACAGTATCCATCACCTGTATAGGTTCTGACACAACACTCCCTATCTGCTTTATGAGTCCTATGATCCTCTGTTCTGTCCTCATGTTCAACTCTGGTTGACTTTTTTTTTACAATGAGAGGATACAGTGATATATGTGCATGCAAAGAGCAAACAACAAGCTGCACAAGAACTCACTACTGTAATGGTCCAGGTTACAAAGTGGCTCAGTGACTCGTGTTTGCATCTCAATGTGAAAAAAACTGTTTGCATGTTCTTCACAAAGAGGGCAACAGATGCTACTGAGCCAGAAGTCTATGTGTCAGGGGAGAAGCTCCAGGGGGTATCTGATTTTAAG